CCAGAATTTAGCACAATGCCTGATTCTGGTTCTTAATGCCTGTAGAGTTGTATGTACTTTGAGGGAACCATAAAACATTTTACAAATGTAGTAATAGAATTATTGAGTACTATGTGCCAAGAGTGTTCTTGGTTCTTGACATGCATTCCATCATTTGATTTCTGCAATCTTTGAGATGGATATTATTTTGAACTCTGTTTTATAGTTGAGGAAATGGGGACAAGGGGAGGTAATGTCATTATAGAGGGTCATACAGCTTAAAAACGGTAAAGTCAGGATTCAAACCAGACCATTTGTCATCAAAGCCCGTTCTCTGAACAAGCTGTATGATTCGGAGGAAATTCCTATCTTACAATTTCTGGTTCTTATTTTTTTTTTTTCAATTTCTGGTTCTTATATTGTTCTGTTCAATGGGACTAGGAGGTATGTCCTGTTCACCAGAGGTTGAATTGTAAAGTCAACTGTAAAGTCATGGATGTGAATATTAGCATTATTATCACTTCCATTCCCACTTCTCCTTCCTGTGAGTTTTCCCATTCATTTCCAAGGAAGTGTCTAACTGGAGGCAGCTGGTGAGTGACAGTCATCTGCTGCTCCCTGGTGGCTCTGGGAGGGTGAAAATCACACTGCTGTTTTTGTAACCTATGTGACTGTATCCAGCCTGGTGGCGAGCAGGAGGCTGGCAGAGATGAAGTAAACAACTTGTGTCCTTGCCTTCAGCTTGGGGCCCGGTTCATTTGATCTTTGGGACTTGCTTTAATGAGAACAGAAGGGAGACATAAAAGTAAGCTTTGGGAAGGACCCCCACTTGGTTCACAGTTGTCCACTTTTATCCTTCTGGCAATATTTCACTGGATTAGTAGTGCTATTTAGCTTTCATTTTAAAATAGCCACTTATGTTTGAAAATTAGATGAAAAGCTATAAACTGAAATAAATGAATTTCAGTTTTATAAAAGTGATTTGTTTGTGCCCCTCTAGGCCATTAGCTTGGTATGATAATCTCTCCAGCAGAATTCCAGCAGAGTACACAGTTGACCACATTTTCTTAGGTACTCTTTTCTTTCCTTTCTCTCAAGTAATCTTTTAAAATTGAATTCTACTTTGAAACTAAATAGCTGAAGCTAGGTCGGTACCCTGTACTCAAAAGAAGTGATTATTAAAAAATTAGGGCATTCATTTTGGAAATGTTAAAGAAAATTCAAAGGAAGCTACGCCTTTCTCATTGCCAATATCATTTTAAAGATGGACGAAGTTGTTAGCAATCTTTCTCTTGATCAGCATTAAAACCAAGTAGGATAGTTACCAGATGTTCTTTATTAATGAGGCAAGTACTCCTGCCTAAAACATGTACTTTCACCCCTACATGTATCTTCGTTCCACAGGTGCCAACTGCATCCTCATGTTCGGAAATTTCAACAATCCTATTGATTATTCCCCAGACCTCTCTGATATACATCAAATACACTAATAGGGTCATACAATGGATCAGTAGTTTTCCTTCTCTAATGGTTTTGCTGAAATATTTGGGCCTCCTTGAGATTTGCTATTGCTCACTTTTTCCCCATTCATCCAGCTTATCATACCCCAGGGTACCTGCACTTACCCCTGACCTGTCTTGAGTTATTTTAACCCAGTCACTTCCACACAGCTCTCTCCAAGGTAAAGAGACTGTAGCATTGCTAAAAGCCTAGAGCAAGTCATTTCAGTTTTCTGAGTATCAGTTTCTTCCTCCATAAAATGGAGAAAAATCATTCCTACCTTGTAGGATTGTTGTGAATTGAAGGAGATAGTGGAAAGAAAGTGCTCACACAGCTCATTGGGTAAACCCCTCTATTTTTCTCTAATAATTGGAAGAGAAGCACAAAGTGATTGTTCCTTGGTATTCACTACCTCAATCCTTATTCTATAACCATTGCTAACGTTTTTTATTTGTGCATATTTTATTTAGTCTTACTCTTTCCTATTGTGTTTATCAGTATTCTTTTTCATTGTGACCAAAATACCTGACCAGAACAATTTATAGGAGGAGAAATTTATTTTTGGTTTCAGTTCATGCTCAGCCTCCTCCATTGCAGAATCATAATGGAGGAATGGTGTGGCAGAGGGAAGCTGCCCAGTTGTTGGCAGTTCAAAAGCAAAGGAAGGAGACAGAGACAGATATATTCCCCAAGGTCACATCCCCAGTGACCTACTTCCTCCAGCCATACCCCAACTGCCAATCATTTTTACCACTTCCTAGTAAACCTATTCAAATACTTAATCCATTAAGTGGATTCATCCATGGATAAGGTTAGAGCCCTCACAATTCTGTCTTCTCATCTCTGAGCATGGCTGCATTGCCCAACACTATGAGCTTTAGGAGGCATATTCCAAACTTAAATCACAACTATGAAAATTTTCACACGTTCAAAGATGAAAAAACAAACACACCCATCACTGAGTTTAGCGACCACACTGTCATTGGTTCATCCTTCTTTCTGATTTTTTATTTGCCCATATTTTATTTAGTTTTACTCTAGTAAAATCAATGACATATCTTTCTTAACTACTTTAGCATGTGTCCCTAGATGATGGGAACAGTCTCCTACATAACCCTATCACCATTATATAGATCTTATTTTCTAATGGTCTACAAGTATTTGCTAAAATCGCCTTCATAGAATTCTATAATCTTGTTTGTCTTGAGTCCAATATGATTAAATATGCTATGACATATTTAATCTAGTAAAGAAGGAGAAACAAACTCTTAGAAAGTGTTGCAGAAATTCACAGACTAAGCCTAAATTCTTTGAAAATAAATCATGACAAACCATTCATTTGCTCTTTTGGTAGAACTAACTGATAGATCAAGAAACTACCTTAAACAAGTATTTGGAAGAAAAATTCCCATTGGTCATTCACAAAAGGTGGTTTCTGGGAAAGTGGGCTGATCTGTGATGAAGCCCATAGGCAGAAAACTTACCTATCCCCAGTGCAAGTCTCCTCATTATATTGATTACCTGTTGCTGTAATCTGGCAGTTAAATGTGTCCCTACGGCCCACATGCTAAAGACTTGGTCACTAGGATGGTTCTTGCTGAAGAACAATAAACATTATGCTTCTCAGGAATACAGAAGAAATATTTACTTGGAAGTGGGACATGGATCCTCCAGGATATATTTCTGATGTTTTCCTCTAACATTCTGTCACACAGTTATGATGAATGTGCATAAAATAAGATCATTCTTGTAGAACAATGAACACATTCCCTAACACATTTAAAGTGTTCCAAAAATATTGTAGGAATATAGCTACAAAGGGACCAGTGGAATCTTAGTTTATAGGAAAATGTGTCTTTAAGTAGAAAAGATATCTCAGAGAGCATCTTATAAGAAAGATATTCTTTACAAAGATTTAATTTGGCAAAGGTCTTCACTCTCAGGAACCATATTTCTATTCAAATTCCCTTTGGAAGCCTGATGCAATAGATGAAACTGGAATTTATACAAATATCTGTTTATAAGTATGTATGTTTTTATGTATATATGTATAAATATACAGACATGTATAAATATTTATATTATACAGATATAAATATACAGAATAAGTATCTATTGGTTAGTTCTTCCAGAACAACAAATGGAATTATGGAATTATTCTTAGGCTTACTCCTATGAATTTCTGCATTTCTTTCTGAGAGCTCATTTCTGTCTCTATATAAATATAAATATATATATATATGTATATACATACACAAATATATGTATACATATGTATACACACATATAAGTATTCATGCATGAATATATGAATTTTAGTTATACACACATACATAGATGCATATGTGTGTATTATACACATATATATGTGTACAAACTTAGGCTTAAATTCTGAATTTGTCATATAATAGCTCTTTAATTGTATACTAAATAATTTATACCTATACTTCAATAAATAATTGAGTTTAATAAATAATTGAATTTTAATCATTTTAATAAGTAACTTATTTAATAAATTATTTAAACTTAAATTAAATCTTGTACTAAATAATTAACTTCCCTGCTTCAGTTTTCTATCCTGGAAAATGGGGATAATGACCTTTTCTCACAGAGTTACTTGACGACTAAATGAGATTATGGAGGTAAAATTCCTAAAAGAGCCCTTTGCATGGGGTGTGCCCCACTACTCATAGATGCTGTGTGTATAGTGGGTATTCTTCCTGGTACCTATCTCTGGCATTCTGGTAACAGCTCCACAATTTTCTGTAGCAAATTAACACTCACTCATTCTTAGACCATTTGGTTTGGGCTTTACTCCTGGTGATTTGTTCAGTAAATTGACATGTGACCCAATTAGAACCTATTAAGTCTCAATTTGAGGTTTTCAGTTAGAACTTACACAAAACAAAACTTGATTTGTCTGGAGGGATTACAGAGGAGATAGACTATCATTGAAGAGTTTGAATCTATCTTGACACCATGAAGACAGAATCTGCTTTACAACAAAGTCATTATAGAATAAATTAAAACCAAATGAGTAAACTGAGTCCAGAATATATTGCTCAAGCGTCTGCATCTAATGCATCTTGAATTCCTTTTTGTACTGAGTCTCTAAATTGCACTTGTCTCCTGTTCGTTTGTTTGATAAACCAGGGTAGGTTAGGTTTGTGATGGGTTCTTGTGTTTGCAAACACAAGTTTCCTTACTAATACAAGCTCTAAGCAATAACCAGGAGAATGGTGTCCCTTCCCAGGTGAGGTAAAAACCTCAGGAGAAGATAGGCATGAAAGAGTCACTGTTATGGTGCATAAAGGAAGGAATGCCTAACTCTACCTGCTCACATCCCAAACCTCTCTCCTTGCTTTTTTTTTTCTTTTTTGGTCAGGATTATGTAAATGGGATTTCTCACACTGGGCTCCACCCGAATAACCTTACATTTCAAGGTATGTGCAAAGCAAATAAGCAATCATATAAATTTGTCACTATATTATAGTGGGTTGGTGATGAAATGTTCTCACAAGTGAAAGCTCATGTGGATTTTTATTTTCTGTTGATCTCCATGTACCTTACAGATACAGGTCATGGGTCACCTCCTCTGTCTATGAAGAGTCTTCAAGGTACAGATGTTCCTGCTTCCACCTCCCTTGTCAAGAGTCAGAATTTATCTCTCTCCCTGAAGGGCACCGATTTTGCTCTTCACAGCTCCATACCACGTAGAGTCCTAGAGGGTCTGGGGTGACACATTGCCTTCTTTGCATCCCTAGCTGTTGGCACAGTCTGGGGTGTTGGTGCTTTCTCAATAAGTGTCCTCAATATAAAAGGAACAGCTTCTCTAAAGACAAGGTGGATAAATGAGAACTTAATGACAGTACAGTCAAATGAATTTGTGATTGATTAAAGTGTCATTCTCAATAGTGATTGGTTAATAAATTGACTTCAGTCTTCTAGGGGTCTGTGGTGATGGCCCATAATCTAGTGAAGCAGCCCAGATGAATACACAAACCACTGCTTCTACTGTTTCCACGGCTGCCCTACACCCCATATTTCTGCTTTCTCTTCAATTTTACCTTTGTCTCCCGATTAGTTCTGAATTTCCCAGGCTCAATAACCAACTCAGCTTTGATCATTCCCCCTTCCTCAAGTCCATCTGGATTCCCAATTTTTCTCATGTCCATTCTTTCTTTTTCCTCCCATACTCACTTGCATTACTTTGCCTCTGCCTGTGCTTTTGCCCCAAACTTTGTCCCTATAGGTGATTCCTTAATGGTCTCCAGAATGTTTGTTTTATTGACTTATCTGAAGTGCCTACAATATTTTCTGTTCAATAAATAGGGTTGCAATACTTGTTTCCTTGGATTTGGACTTCAGTTTCCCAAACCATCTTGCAAATTAATCTTCAAAAAATCAGGTTTTCATCGTGCTATTGTGCCATTCACAATGTTTTAACAGTACTTCTATGTTCCTAGGCCCAATCCAAACTAATTAGTCTAGTATGCAGACTGTCAGTTTGGCATCCAGGGAAATTCCTCAGGTTATTTTCTCAGGGAAATTCCTCAGGTTATTTTCTGGCATTGACCCGCATAACCTTGTGTTCCTGTCCAACCTGTCTGTTCATCGTTCATCAAAATGCCCTTGAGGTCCTGTTTCCACAGAGTGGCACATGCTTGTTCTTTCTATTTGAAATTTATCCACTTAGAGAAGAAACCAAATGTTGTAAATGATGGACATCTGTGACCATATGAGATTAAAGTTTTGATACGGTGAAAGACACCACATAAATGTACTAAGTTTATTATCAAATAAATGATAGACAAGAAAAAAATTGAACACTAAGACATTAAAATGAATATTAGTCTTAATTTACAAAGAACATTTGCAAATTGCTTTACAAAATGACAATAAATAAATTAAAAAGATGGACCAAATATTTAAACAATAAATAAGAGATGAAAAGTGTCCAGGTTCTTTATTAGTTATACATATGTATACTAATACATAGGTAAATATCTGTATCATATTTCACTAATCATATCCAAAGGTACTATAGAGGGTTGAATTTACTCAATTCATTGCTCTTGACAATTTAAATTGCTACACTTATGAAAAATAATCTGTCAATATGATTAAAATTAAAAACACATATACCCTAATTTACCTTAGAGAACTTATTTTATGAGAATAACAGTAACAATAAAAATATACAGTGGCAGAAATAGAACCCATAAACAATCTAAAATTTATTATCATAAAATTGACTAAAATATAATGATTTATATTACATTCCTATAGCTAAGTTTGTATTTAAGATATGACACAATCTTCGATGATAGTAAAAGTAATGAGTTAGAGAAGGTTTTCTGGATAAGGAGTGAGCTTCACATTATGTTTCATATAGAATGTTTCTTGGTGAGTAATATATCTAGTATGATACTATTTATAATAAAAATAAATAAATATAGAGAATAATATTAATATCAAGGCATTGATAATGGTTACATGGTAGAAGTGGGTCCAGAAATAAAAAGGTGACCATGAAGAAAGACCAATAGCTTTTCTTTACATGTCTCTATTTTGTACATCTTTGTACATGTTACGTGTTACCATTAGCATGAAATTTTCTTGCAATTTAAAAATACATCATAAATAATGTAACAAGAACTATGGCTCTTCTCTCCCTTTATAAATTTTACCCATGAGTCTTATCTCAAGTTAATTTCTAATTTCTATGAATTTATTGATAGAATTATTTCCTTGATAATTCACCATCTGGTTCCTGTTACTGCATTATAATTGCTGCCTTGGAGTATTATTTAAATAATGCATTCTTATTTAACTGTTCATATTAATGTCAACTTACTTAATTAGAGTGTGAGTTTTTTTTGTGATAATAGAAGAACACTTTGATCTAGAGTGTTGTTTAAAGCTTCACAATTCACTCACTCGTTCACTCATTGAACAAATATTGATTGTGTTTCTACTGGTTATGGAGCTCTACATTGGGTCTTAAGGATTTCAGCACCATCTTGGGCAAGACATTATCAATGCCTAACAGTTTTATGGGGAAGGAGGAACCAAAGGAGGTCTTGGAAATGAGTAAGTTGCTAATGGGAAATTGCAGTGTGTTGGTTTCTAACAAAGTGAGACTCGGGAATCAGGAGAATTGACTTTGAATTGTCTATGCTTAGCCTCTTAATAGCTTCTTAATCCCCACCCATATTTTTATATTCTTAAAAGTAAAACAAGAAGGGGTACAGGAGAATGAGCTGAGATATGAAGCATTTTGGGAGGTTCAGTTCCTGTTAATAAAGACTTGTAGGCAAAGGCAGAGCTCCTTTGACAGCAGTCAGTGCTGGACATGTTGCTGTTTACACATTCATCTTCTCAGAATTAAAATGTCAGAGAATCAGGAAGAGATGACAGCACAAAACATTGTTCAAATGATACTCACATGGTGTTGCCTCCCCTGATCATGGGGAGACAAGAAAACCTTCCCTATACAGGTTACTCAAATTTTAAGCTCATTTAAATTTGAGAAACAAACATCCTCTTAAGTGCACTCCAACCAGGAAAGTGGGTCACCTCCCTTGTACTGTACTCTGTATGAACTTCCTGGCAGCACATTGCTCTGTGAATAGGATCATACACCAAGGTTGCCCCTCAATCATTGATGGATTGTTCTGTCTTGCTCCTCAGTGATAAGCATGGCACTAGGGTGACACTGGTAAACAGTTACAGAGGTCTTCCTTGTGGTGTGTCAAAATCACCTGTTTTCCATGGGGACCTTCCTTTTTCTTGGGAGCACATTACCTATTTACCCTACCGGCTGCCTATTCCATCTCCCCACTTCCCATTAGACATATGGGCCTCCTCTATTTGGTCGTCCTGTCATTTGGTCACCCAGCATGTGTTCTGTTGAGAGAGAGGTGACTTTGTTGCAGCTTTTGGCTCTGAACAGCAAAATCATTTTTCTAGATACTGGTTTATCTCAGGCCCGACTGAAGAACACTATTGAAAATATTTTTGACGAGAACCAATAGTATAGTGTCTTACATATACACTGGCTCATAGCAGCTAATAAATGACCCTCAGACTCTAGAAGATCTTGAATAGAGAGAACAATAAGAGCCACCTCCTTAAAGAATTTGGTTTCTTTATTATATCTAACCTGCTTTATTAAGATATGGCTGGTTTCCTGAGAGAAGACTATCTGTTTAACTGAGCTCGGCTCCCATCAACAGCCAAGTGGACTAGGTTCCTGCCTTCATGGTTAGGGAGGTAGAGTGGGCACTGGATTTCTCTTCAGAATCCTACCTCACAGCTATGCAGTCAAATCACATCTAAGAGAAGCTTTTTTCTCTTCAATAAGGAAAGTAACTCCTATCTAAGTCAGGAGAGCCGAGATAAAATAATAAACCCTTTATAAATTCTCAAGAGTTATGTGCATTATTTGTTTAACAGATGCAAGTATAGACTAGTGGTCATAAGAGACCTAAAATGATGCTCCCAGTGTTAAATCAAGCACAATCACCATAAATAATATGAAAAGTATTAAGTTATTTAGATGCTACCTCACTTGAGTCTCTGCATGTCAGGTTTTTACTGTACATATTTACAATTCTTTTCTAAAAGAGCAGTGAGAGCTATAAAACATAATAAAGAATTTTCTAAAATTATAGGGTACACAAATAAATATGTGATGCAGAAAACTGACAAACTGGAGAAGGGATAGAATATCATGAGACGATGTGGGGAGGCCTAATAAAATCGTTCCAATGGAGTTGTTAAGTTTTCACAAGTCAAATTTCGTAAACACAAACATGAAGAGTAAGAAAGAGGACAGTTGTGCCTGGCTTACCCATGTCATCAACGACCGGAGCCAACAGAACACCCTGCTGGCGGAACAGATAGTAACTGAAGGAAAACATTTCTTAAAGAAAGAAAAAGTACAAGACCTGAGGAAGCTTAGTCTCTTTCTCCTTTGGGTCCTGCTAACCTCCAGTTTGGTTACATTGACGGAGTGCTGGATACTGAGTCTGTTCTATGCCAAGAGCTTCACGTGTCTTAACTCACTCTTGCTCACCTCAGCCCTATGGAGGAATGGCCTTGTTATCATTCCATGCCATTGATGAGAAAACTCAAGCTTCAGTTTAGCATGTCTTAAAACCCACTGCATCCCTGTTTTAACCCCAGGGGCGTTTATACTGTTATCATTCTCATGTTACTAACAAGGAACACCAGGACCAGATGGAGAACTGCAGAAACAAGGCAATATTAGTGGAGAGAAAGGGTGACCTCAAGTTCATGAGCTATTGAAGATTGGAGGCTGAATTTGAAGTGGGACTGAAAATAGGGAATTACAGTGAGAGGCAGAAGGTGGTGGCCTGTCCCTGGTGGGTTTCTATTGGGAGATAGTGTTACAGTTTATTAGCTTTTCCTTAGGAACTGGAGAGGACGAGGCGGGGGGGTGGGGGAGTGAGAGGGGATGAGAGAAAGAACTTATGGTGATTAACAACATCAGTGGAAGCTAATGCAAGAAATAATGATAGCTAAGTTATAAGCTAGCCATATTTTAGCATGTTTAAAATAAGCATTTGAGATGGGTAATATTTGTTTCTCCCTTTTAAAGTTGAGAAATCTGAAGCTTAGGTCACAGCTAGGTCAGTAGCAGAGATCAAATTCAAAGCCCATGATTTTAACCAACATGCAAGTGTTATTATCATGGTCTCTATTAGTGATTGATATATAGCCAAATTATTACATAAAGGAGTTAGGGAGATAAATGGCATTGTTAAAGGATGTGTTCTTATTAACATGAAGCAAACAATTTTTTTATCATTACTAGTCAGTACCTGACTCGTATTTATCCATATTTTGATAGATTGGAATTTTGTTCTTTCTCTCCTGACCTTGAAATTTCTTGGCATCTAACTCAAAGGGAGAAGAGGGAAAAAAAGGCTCCAGACATCCATCCACACACTGAAATATAGAATTTAAAACAGCAAACCACCTAAGATATTGGTCTGTCCTTATGCATAAAATATATATTAAAATGAATAATAAAAGAATCTAAAAAATTGATATAATTAATAAAAAAAAAGTTTTGGGGAAATTGCCTACTTGCTTAACCTGTCTGATAAAGTCACCAAAAAGGAATATGCAGCTTAACTTTTATCAAGGTGACCGAGTTAAAGCAATTCTGTGCCATGTTTAAACACTGAACTCTTTTTCTAATGTTAATTTATAACACTGAAGGATTATTCCATGCTTAATGAGAATGATAAAAGATGAGTACAAATATGTAATAGAGTGGAATGGGACAACTCCAGGAATCTGCAGTCTAAATTCTAGTTTTAGCTTTGCCACCAATTAGTAGCTGTGTAATTTGGAGCAAGTTATTTAACTTCTCTGGGACTCTGAATTCAGAAAAGCAAAAACAACTGGGGTTCAACCAAATTATCTCTGAGAGTTACCTTGCAAGTAGTAAGACTACTGGTTTGAATGTTTGAGATCCAGATATCCCTGGGCATGTCTCCGATTGGGGATCTCAAGAAAGCCTCTGTGATGGAGGCTGAGAAGTATTTGAGGATTTGTAACCTAACTTGTGTCATTGCTGGGATATGGAGCCAAATCTAGTAAAATAGTGAGTGATGGCTAAATAGAAGTTCATTTTCTTGTAGTTAAAGGATTCACTAAAAAAGAAATTATCCCAGAAAATAGGTATGAGCTCTGCAGGATTTCCCTCATGGTGTTGCCTCACTTACCAAATAGAGGCAATCGTGCACACCTTGCATAGTCTGGCACTCAGACGTATGCCCTGGCCTCTCCAAACGTGAGTTCCATGAGGATCAATGGAATCTCTAAGTAAAAACCTGTCTAAAAGCCCCTCCCACTGATTAGAAGGTTTAGAAATCTGATCGGCACACAGAGTCCAACTGTAACTGAATTGATTCTACCCTGCCCCTTCCATCTCTGCAGCTTTGGGCTAGTGACTTAATAATTCTGAGCCTCAGTTTCTTCATCTGTCTAACGGGAATTAGAATGTTTTGTTTTTCCCCCTCAAAGTCTGTTGAGATACTTAAATTGAAATATGGTTGTAAAGCACTTGCACTGCCACTTGCAAATGGCAGCTCTTGACAGTCATACTAACACACTGGTTGACATTGTCATTAGAGTCTTGCTGAAGGGGGAGACAGTCTTTTTCTGCCCTGTGATTCATTGAAGGCCACATGAATGGAAGAGTAGTGATGGCTACTCTCAGGAGTTTCCATGTTCTAGAAAGTGACCCAAAATTCTTCTAGTTGAATGAGGTGGCAGCAGGTCAACATGGGCTGGGCTGAGACAGGAGCACCAAGGAAGCAGTGGCACTGTTGCACTTAGCAGAGGATCAGTGGCCACTGGCAAGGACACAATGACAATGTCCCCCAACAGGAAAAAAAACCCGTTTTAGAATCATCTACAACATTTTTTATGAACAAACTGAATATTATGAAGTTGTATTAACAGTTTTCATTGTTGCTAAAATGTTAAGGGGTATTGAAAAATTTGAATTCATTTATTTATTTAATCAAAAATGTTAATGAGTACCCACTATGTGCAGGAGCTAGGGTAACAAATTTAGTAAATGGGTGGGGTCTTGGCCTTCATGAAGCTTGCATTCTAGGCCTGACTAGACACATATAAAATGCACAAGAGGTTCTCATTTAATAGTGAGCCTGTGAAAACAGTAAGATGTCTTAGGAAGAGGACAGGTGAAGCCAGGCATGGGCTTGCTGTGCGTAGGGCAACTGAGCTAAGATCTCAATGAGAAAGAACCATCCTTGGGAAGATAGGACCAGGCAGAGACCACGGCTCTGAGTCAGTAATGAAAAACAAGACCAGAATGTCCAGAGGAAGCTACAGGCAGAGGAGCAGTTTGAAATGATGTGGGAGAAGTTGGGAGAAGCCAGATAAGAAAAGACCTTGTAGACCCTAAAGACAAAAATGCCATTGAAAGGAAACCAAGAAGCTAGCAGAAGCCAAGATAGGCAATAAGGTAACAGAGCATTGATTTCCAAACCAACTAATGAAGACCTGGATGATTTTCAGAAAGGAAATATGCCATCAACTTTCAGCATGTTTTAGTGTCTAATGCAACTGTTGGGCTATGGGGTTACATGAACTCCATTGTCTTAGTCACTTGTTATTACCAAAAATATGGCCAGCAGATTATTGTGTGAGCGTGTGTGTGTGTGTTGTGTGTGTGTGTGTGTGTGTGTGTGTGTGTGTGTGTGTGTGTGTGTGTAGGAGAGAAAGAGTGTTGGGACTGAACCAAGGACACTCTATACTGAACTATATCCACAGCCCTTTTTATTTTGAAAGGGATCTCCCTAAGGTGCAGAAGCTGACTTCAAACTTGCAGTCCTCCATCCTCAGTCTCCCCAGTTACTGGGATTACAGATGTGCACTACTGACCCAGCAGGTCTGTTTTAAACCCAATATATAGCTAGTGTAAACTAGTGGATGTCATGTAATGACAATAGTCTTATAGTCAGAGGCCAGAGGTCAAATTTAAGTTCCCTGTTCACATCTACTGAAAGACTCTGGGCAGTCATTGAGATTGTTTCCTTACATTATGTTTACGGAATTACCACCACATAGGAAAATTGTGAAAATTTTGGAATTTCCTTGAACATTTTAAAGCATCTTCCAAATATGTCTTACTAATTCAAAAGTTATTTTCTAAATTTCTTGTCATTATTGTTTTCAAGTACAACCACTAGGGGTCAGAATTTCACATAAGTTTCTAAAAGAAACCACCAAGGGTAGAAAAAAACAGCTTTTTTCTACTAAAGCAGCATAAAACAACAAATTAAGGCACAGAAAGAAAAATAATGATGACTTCAACAAATAAGTTTTGATAATTGTAATGATGCTTATTTCCTGAATTGTTACTTAACAAACTTCGGGAAAATTGTTACATATCTGTTTTTGATGTCTGTATAACTTTGGCTATTCCAATATTTTCAGGACAAGTCTACAATGAAGTTTCATTTTTCAAATAAAGAAACTGAAGCAAAAGTAGATATAATAATAAGCTGAAGATCAAGCAGACTGAATATATAGTGCCTTTCTTTCCACTAAGCGATACTTAGGAACTTGTACTCTAAAATAATGTCTTTATATTGGGCAACTTTTCTATAACTGAATAGTATTACTGGTTGTTTTCCATCTGAAACTCAAAATAACTTGCATATTTCCTATATGAGATTAAAGTCAGTTCCTTTTATTGTCTGTTTCCCATACTATCTAGAGCTTCTGAGCTCAGCGCTGTAGTGCCAGTAAATAAGGTAATGAGATGGTTAGTCAAAAATACAGACCACTTAGTCTTAGGAAAAATATATTAACAAAAGTGATAACCCAGCCCTTTGAAGTGTTTATCTAGCCATTGAGCATTTTGGTTTTTCATTCTGTGGAGTTAAAGATACAAGTCTGCCTTGTTTGGGGTTGGGAGGGGCTGTTACAGTATTCATAAAGGAATGAAGTAGAGATGGTATTTTATATTTGAGAGAAGTTGCCATGTCTTATTTTTTGGTGTGCACATGATATCTAACATAGCACCTATTGTAGGGGAAAAGCAGTAATAAATATGCTTAGATAGTTCCATGTACATTTGTAGGCAATTTGTAGAGAAAGAAACAAGTGTTGATCCTAAGAATCTGCAATCTAATCCCAAACTTACCCTGTAGACCTAACTCCTAGGAAGGTTTCTTATCTTAGCTTTAAACCCTCAGCATCTAACCAAGAACTCCAGGGCTGTACAGTACATTCCAGAATCATGGCATCTATTTACTAAGAAGGAACTTAGAATGCTTTTGATGCAAAGTCCCTAGGCTCCAGGGAAGAGAAGAAATGGCATCTGAGTCCCTCTTCCAGTGTCCCTCTTCCTTAGATGTGTCACATTTTCATCCTGCCATACTCTGGTTGTAATCATTTCATAATTCTACACAGACTCAGAAAGAGAGTTAAGGAAGTTTCCATCCCTTGAAACTGTAACTACATCTGTAACGGGAAAGAGTTTTGTGGTAGGTGAAGAAATAACAATAAAAGGATACATGGTAGACAGCCTGCTGACATTCAGCAAATATTAATTACATCCTGATTAAAACAATAAAATAAAATAAGATGCTTTCAAAGAATTTCTAAAGTATACTCCTTGCCTTTTTTTCTTGGAAAGATTTAAGGTTTTTATCCATAATTTTTATTTTTTTAAAAGCAAGGATTAAGCAGGGCATGGTGGTAAATGCTTATAATCCGAGCCGTTCAGGAGGCTGAGGCAGGACGATTACAAGTTCAAAGGCAGTCTCAGCAACTTGGCAAAGTCCTAAGGAATTTAGTGAGACCTGGTCTCAAAATAAGACATAATAAGGGCTAGGGTTGTGTGTTACAGTGGCTATGCATCCCAGGATTCAATCCCTGGTCAAAAAAAAAAAAAAAAAAGAGCAAGGATTAAGGGGATTCTTCAGCCACGTGCATTCAGCACATTTTCTAGTTTCTGTTAAGCTTTTTTTTTCTTTTTCTTTTTTTTTTATTGGTTGTTCACAACATTACAAAGCTCTTGACATATCACATTTCATACATTAGATTGAAGTGGGTTATGAACTCCCAATTTTACCCCAAATGTAGATTGCAGAATCACGTCGGTACACATCCACAATTTTACATAATGCCCTATTAGTAATTGTTGTATTCTGCTACCTTTCCCATCCCCTACTATCCCCCTTCCTTCTGTTAAGCTTTACCCATTCCTTGGGTATTCTGATCTGCGTAAGCAATTCTTACCCAAGACCCATCTGAGTCACTATCGTCTTAGAAAATCTGCTCTGACCTCTGTGCCCCCATAAATTATTTACCTCTTCATTATTTATGGCACTTAGACATATTATCCTGTGTACATCTTGTGCCTAAAATAGTGCCTGACACTTATTAAGTATTCAACATATGCCAGTTAAATTGCAATGAATGAAATTGTTACATTGACATATTATATTTTGGAAATTATTTTAATAATGCCTTATTCTTCTTTCAGTTGGAAAGTTACAGTTTCTGTGCATGGAAAATGATTTACTGGTGCTCTTCTTAAACAGACCCTCCCACTGACACAATCAAGGAAAACATTAATTTCAGCTCTGTCCATGACACCACAGTAATAACACAAAGTTTCCTACACTCTTTGGAAAATCCAGTAATGGTTTTAAGTAAATACTTTATTTCTAATCAAAACTTTCTTTTCTGAACATTTGCCCTCACATTATTCATTTATTCACTCAAGAAATTATTTGGAAGCCCCAAGGTCTCATTGTTCCTTCTTGCATTTATTTTATGGTATCAAAGGTTAAAACTTGGATTGCAATCTTTGGAGGAAATTAATTCACTGATTAAAAAATGCACTTTAAGCAATACACATTTAAATAACTGACAAACATCAGGCCATTTTAAAAAATAGTTTTTGGAAAGACCCTTTTTTCTACTTAAAATTTTAAGCAGCTGCAATTCTTCTGCCCTATAGCCTGAAGAAGCATAGCATGAATTACTAATAAGAGAGCACCAATCTGCAGTGCAGTGACCACTTTCAGAACAAAAGGGTAAGAGCTGAAGCCAGGAAAGCAGATTTATTTTTTATTTTTAAATTTTTTTTTAACCAGTTGCTTGGAGCATATTTGGACCTTGGCTCTGCTTGGAAAAAAATTGCAATATTCAATCATTCTTCAGCGAAAGGCACTTGACCTCAAAGATTCTACTTTCAAATAAAGAATTGTTCATTTATACACTCCCTCCAATCTTTCACCCCCCCTCACCCTCCTAAAATTCATCCTCTTCATTGGAACCTAGGAGCCAATTAATTAATGTAAAATATGTTTAAGATTTAAGTTTTCTTTCACTGAACTTTTGCCTAAATAGCTTTAGCAGAATCAGTATGAGAAAGGAGAGGAAGAAAACCAGCCCAAGAATAAAGCTAGATGCTCTTAAAGAAAGTGTTTCCGAAGAACAATGACTTGGATGCACATCTTCCTGTGGGTATGATGGAGGAGATTTCCTCTGTCCCCTGGTAAATTCAATCAGATTCCTACCCCAGGGCTTATATCTCCTCCCAACCTTCTCTTACCTAACATCAGGGAAGACTTCAAAAAAGTACCTACTAGTGATTTCCCAAAATATAGGTTGATAAAGGGGATAAAGGAAAGTCATTGAGAACATAGAGTGGGGATGAGGGAAGAGATGGTCTTTACTACTTGAGATTTGGGGGTTTCTTTCCTCACCTTTGGGTCCTGGTGAAATTGTGTGTGTAGCGCAGACTTCTGTGGTGGGGCGACTATCAATATCCAGGCCCAGACTCTGAATTTGCAAGAGAAAGAAGAGCAGGAGGATGAACTGGTTGTTTTGAAGCAGGACTCCAAAGCCATTCATTGCTGAAGTTCTTCAGAAAAGGATTTTCCTGAAATGCCAAATAAATAGCTTTATGTTAAATCAAACTTCTGCTACAGGGAAGAAAGGGAAGGGTTGGGGGCACACATTCCAGAAAGTGCTACGAAGACAAGAAGGAGGCTGACCCTGAATTTTGTTTATTTTTTCAGTATCCCAAATAAACCGTACATGGTCCAGACTGTTTATTCTCAAGTGACAACAGTTTATTGAAAACTATCTCTTAACTAAACACTTAAGTGTGCAGGCCAGGAGAAACATCCTGAGACTAAAGGGGATAGGGGTGCCTCTGCTCAGTACTGGGTCTGACAATTTTTAGGTTGCACTGAATTTAAATGCTGAGTTGTGAACCAGATGTTTTTGCAGATATGATGCAAAACCCTGTAAGACTTTGAACTTTTCCTGAGGTGACATCCATCAGCTGATGTGGCAGCTGACCACAGAGGCTTCCAATGTTCCCCATGTTCTTCTCTTGCTCACAAAAAGTGATCTTGGGATTAAATCCCCAAGGAAAGAATGACCATCTTTTCTGCAGAACAATTTGGCAAAAAGTAAAGAACATTAAAACTGTAACGGTGGCCCTTAGAAATTGCCCTCTGGCAACTAACTCAAGGAAATATTCTGAAATGTAGATAAAGTTTTATTTGAAAAGATACACTAATGGTTGGCAAATTATGATGTGACTGTTTTCTTAAAGTGGTGTTTGTAGCAAATTTTTCAAGTGGAGGAAATAGCTTACAATATTATGTTTCTTAAAAGGCAGACTAGATTTAGACACAGATTATATAGATCTGATATAGACATAGATATGAACTTTGAGATCAATCAATCGACTGACAGACCTACCTACCTACTGGCCTGCCTGCCTGTCTGTTCACCTACCTATTCCAACAACCCACATCCTGTATGACTAACTGTGGCTTGGTAAGATATTGGAAAATTAGAACCAGAATCATTTATGAGAGGTTCCTTGCCTTCTTTGTTCTCAAAGACACATTAACTCAGAGTTGGGTGAAAGGGATTCTCAACCTGCTTTCCTTGAATTTGGAAAAGATGGAGAGATATTGTTACAAATAATGGTCAATCCAAGAAATATGGGTATTCAACTTCCCCAGAGCTGTCATTAAAAGGATCACAAACCCAATGGCTTACTCAATATACATTTTTTTTCTGAGATACTGAGGGTAAAGACTTCAACATATCAATTTTGGGTGGAGGACACAACTCAACACGTGATGGTAGGCTCATGGTATGTCTGAACTGATCTCTTCATTAGCAATACAAGCAGAGAGGGAAAGGAGTTGGCAGCAATTCAACAGTCACTATGTACAGGCAGAGTGCTGCTCTCAATTCATATTTACTACATTTAGACCTCAGAGCATGTCTATGGTTCAGATAATAATTCTCCTATTTTGCAGCAAAGTATCTGAGATTTAGGAAAATTAAGCAACTTGCAAACAGTCATATTTATTTAAAAAAAAGCCACCCTCCCAAAATCAAATGCAAATTCTTTCCCCAAATTCCTGCTCTTAGGTGGGGCAGAAAACTATTTGGTTTCCATAGGATGAATATTCTCAGCCCTTGAGAATGCACTAATTTTATATATGCTTAAAATGTCCAGAGTGGATGTATTTGTGAGGTTAACAGTGATAGGAAAATAGTGAGAACTAATACCATGATGTTAGAAACCTCAGATTTCATGTGTTATGACCAGATACATGACACAGAGCAAGACACTCAACTTCAAGTGCCATAAGGCATACAAAGTGAGGTGGACTTTCTATCTAATGTTCTTTTTGAATTCTATGATTTTTAAAAATTGATGCTCTTTAAATTGTTTAGATTGCTCTAAATCCACTCCACTTCTGCTTCTTTTTTAATCTTGAAGCATCCCTTGGAATGCCATGAAAGTATAATCATTACATTTACATCCAGAAATCCACTGGTAAAAATCTGAAGAAAATAGTAGTGCTTAGAATTTTTCCGTGATATGTCCCATTTCTTCTCTTTGAAACCTCTATTCTTTTTTTAACTCAGCAAAGTCTATAAGTATATTTCTGTGTTTTTCAATAGATTATTACATCAAAATTTAAATTGCCATGGAGTATTCATCGCATATTTTATATATAAAGCAATATTTAATCAGTCAATGCTCTATTTCTGGGAACTTAAATATTTTTATATTATTAACATAAATAATACTGTGATGGACATCTTTGCAGCTCAATCTGCATGTCCAATTCCTTTTTACTCTCGAGGAAGACAAATGCATGTGGCTTGGTAATTCATTGAATCTTAAGAGTAACAGGTAAAGGTCAATGTTT